ATTCTAGTGTAGATTCTAGTGTAGATTCTAGTGTAGATTCTAGTGTAGATTCTAGTGTAGATTCTAGTGTAGATTCTAGTGTAGATTCTAGTGCAGATTCTAGTGTAGATAGTTGATGTGGTGTAGATTATAGATTCCTCCCGTGGTGCAGAACCGACATTTCATATCTACTCAAATATGAAAAATATTATCAAGATATCAACCAATTCCGCATTTTTTTGCAAAATAACCAGAAAAATCTTTCTTAGAGTAATAATGAATTATGACTATGTGACAATATTCATCCAGAAAATTTTGGAATGCCCTCCAAAAGGATCTTACAAGGAGCAGTCAAAAATTAAATGATAACTACTTTCACAGAATGAATTACAAAAAGTACAAAGATTTGATTCCACTTTTTTCATTTTCTTAAGGAAATTTAGACATCTATRCTGAAAAGCAGGTAAAGAATAAATTTGAGATAACTCTTGTGACGTGACACCGACACTATAACAGTATGATGCACTATGACAGTATATCTAAAGCTGGCTRTGATTCATGGAGTTATCACAATGCATTGCGTGACATTCTACGTGCGAATTTTGCCCCGGTGTCAAAACAATTTAACAAATCGCTTATAGATTTGCATTGTCTGTCCTCTTATTTATCATAGATGACGTCTTAAAATGTTCAAAAAAGTTTATAAGAAAAACGGTTTCAAGCGTGCGCTGGCTCTGTACGCGAGCGATTCGTCATGCTCTGTGTCTGTCCTCTTATTGATCATAGATGTCAGCCAATCAATTTGCGAGAATACATAGAGGTTATTAGTCGGCTAAGCATCTGATACGGCTGTGTACTTTTACGAGTCACGGAATATTTTGGCGAGCCTTTAGGCGAAATGTTCAAGCTCTCTCTAAACCCTATCGTAACCAGCTAGCGCGAGCAGATGAGCAGTGCTGATACGGTCTCATATCAGGCATGTTCTTTTTTCATATCACGCACGTTCTTTACAGAATAAAATGATAAGCTCTGTTATTGTAAAAAAAAGGTATTGACTACCATACAACGATCCTTTCTACTTCCATTATTATTAGTCCTTCTAGCTGTGTTGTCTCAGACGTGGAAATGACTGGCTCAAATAAATGTTGGCGTACCCTGCGAGCAGAGGTTTTTTTCTGACCCTCCGTGGACAGCCAGCTCCACGGAGGGTCAGAAAAAAAAACTCTGCTCGCAGGGTAATGTTGGCGCGTATTTTTCATTAATTCATGGTAAATTAAATACGTAACAAAGCAAAGAACTACAGTCTTGGCGCAGTATATATATTTTTCGTAAATGTACCCAACAATGAATATGACTTACTTGGAGGTTTTYTGATCGGTTTCGCTCTCAGTCGATGCAGGTAGTCTGTGATCAYTCTACGTTAAGTCTGAGCWAAATSTTATTGAGACTATTTTTAGCCATTATGCAAGGGCTAAATTTGAGGTCACCATCATTATTTAGACGATAATTTTGCCGTTATACGACGGCGAAATTTATAGTCACCATTCTTATTGAGAYGATTATTATTAGCCATTATACAACTGCTAAATATGAGGTCATCATTATTATTGAGTTTCATTATACGATGGCCAAATTTGTAGTCAATATTTTTAAGGTTGAGAGTGRCTCRACCCAGTTTTCAGAGTGCGAGGGTACTTCAAATGCAAATGTAAAGAACGATAATCACGCAAGTGCACGAAAGAGTGACGCTTTCTTGGACTGCCTTTTATTCTCTTTTTATTAAGAGCTCTTCTCGTGGACTCAGTTGTATAGAGAATCACACGATCTCGAGTACAATTCGGAATTTTTAACTGAATACTTTACTTTATACTTTATATTTGTTTTATACTTTATTGATTGATTGATTGATTTGTTTGTTTGTTTGTTTGTTTATTTATATCTATAAATTCCGAATTGTACGAGAAGATCACGCGAGTTTTCGTTTGTAATACGCTCAACTTTGAGCAATTTAATTGAGACTCTACGAAGTACAATTTGCAAAAAATGCAAGAACAATAGGGAAGTGCCTATGCGCGCCGCAAATCTGGCGCATGCGCCGACGTTTTAGCGAGGTTTGGCTGGGGAAAAAACCGTCTAGAATCAGTAGACCTTTTTAGCTTCGTTTTTTGTTGTGCCYATTTCAGACCATGTGATGTCACTCTTGGGAGCTGATTCTTTCATGTGTAAATATTTTAACATGTTCGTTATAAAAGAACAATTCTCAAGGGAATGTCATGTGATCTGAAATGGGCAATTTGCGTACGAAGCTAAAAAGGACGATTCTGAAATGTTCTTTGTTAATTTTGACCAACTCTAGTTAGAAAAGGAGACTTTTCCCCTACAGTCTGGCCGGTTATACAACAATCTAACTACTATCATAGTATTGCTTCTTCAAGGAACACTGATAAATAGKGAAGATTTTATATATGGTGTTTTATGTGCACAAAACTATTTTATAGTGCTCATGAAGTCATTATATTAGTTTTAATAACACGTGCGTCAAGTCACGATTAACAAACACGACAAAATATAATTTATATTTATAATGTATAATTTATTTACCATAGCAAAATTTTTACAGTGACTTTTTTAATCAAATAAAATAATTATTTACATATTAATGAGTAACACCACAATAAGGGCAAAATAATATATATATAATGGGGATCTTAACGTGGGTGTTGCAAGTAAATTAAAAAGAACAAAGGATGGATATCTTGCAAGATGCAGTTGATGGAAGTAGAGAACATAAAGTGGAATTTTTTTAGAACAATAGATAAAACACAAAGGTGTTTCAAGGATGGCTTCGAGAGTTTGTGCAGTTTGACAGCCAGTTCTCTTTTATCAGTCCTTTTCTTCTTTTCCCCTGARTAGACCTAACGGTGTGTGCGCTGTATCTCTAGACTCTTATCTGCATATCACAACAAAGAACCAACCGCCCCTGTCGAGAAACATGGCAAAACAAACACCACTCCATGTTTATAAAAGCTTTCACCAAGGCTTTTAGAACCGACGGCTCTTGTAAAAGAAATCCACCGTAGGACCGAATCACAGAAAATGGTATCTCGAGAGAATAGAACACAACCAGGCTCAAAAAGCCATAAGAATGGAAGAAAAACCAACAATAGTTACTGCACTTCAAAAAACTGTTAGAAACATTATTTCCTCGGTGATTGTGGATTTCGAATTTGAGCAGCCGTCGACCACATTGTCTTTAACCTTGTCTTAAATCAAACATTGATCCATAAATGGAAGTCCCATCTGTCATTATTACAAYAGCCATTTAAGGTCTTTACATACCAACCATTAAATTGGTAAACACGACATGACGTGTGCGSGGATTGAACTGACAGAAAATTCTTTTCAAGATTGAGTAAATGAATTGCAATTACGAAACATATCTTCGAGCTAATTTGTCGTGTCAATTCAAGGTGGTCAATAGACAGGGAGGTCTTCGTATTTACAGCTCGTCAGTGACTGAGGAGTCAATACAGACCACTAACTCGTGTATCAAGAGACACTGGTGTCTGCTTACACATTGCTTACCCCACACAACAGTGTAGTTTTCTGATGCCATTTCGTGATAACGTGAACTTCTCAGCAATACCTGCAAAGACATCGACCATCATCAACCGTCTTTCGTCCAGTCCCGCTGTCACAGCGATATCTGAATCAAGYGCGATTGTTGTATGGGAAAGTTATAAAGGTACATGTACCCAACTGAGAAACTAAGAGTAAGTAATAGATAATGATAAATTCATACTTTTCCCAAGGATCAATTTTTAAAAATCTCGTAAGGCATATACGTATACGGTTAATGACTTGAACGTTGTCCACCGAAAATGACATTTACACCAGGAGAAATGTCAAGTTATACCGAATACACTCGCAGGCTCTAAATGCATGGTACCAGTCATCATCGTACACGTAAAGTCCATAATTATTATTCTTTGTTCTTTGTTGCTCTTTACATTAGTTTAAACCTAAAATATATAGTGTTTGAGACGACTGAACAATTCGTCACGTGATATTTCTTTTGGTCTTCTAAGAAGTCTTTTTTTTTTTTTTTTCATAGTACAACCTTTTGACAATGACTGTAATGGTATAGAATTAGACCTTATTTAGACCCTTAAATTGTCAGTTACGAACTGAATAATGAACTTTCATGTGTGGTATTTTTTAAAACTTCATTGACCTCTGAGCGTRTACACTGGAAATATCTATCAATTTGAGATCGTGTTTGGAAATATGTTGGAAGTTTCGTCTTCCAAACATGTTTCCATACCCTGGATTTGTCCAAAAGGTTGAAAGCTACACTTCCAACTTTTTTCCAACATATTTCCAACGTATTTCCAAACATCTCAAATCCATAGATTTTTCAAGTGCCAAAACTTCTGTGCAGCCTTCCTTAGTTCCTTTCTGCGAGCCATAAAATGACTCGACATTGTACTGCATTTTCAGCCCCTGCCTCCCATCCCCCTTTACCATCCTGTTACTCTCAAACCTCTACGCCCACATCATCCCATTACTGCATGAGACGGTCTCGTGTCTGCTAGATCATTGATTTCCTGTATTTGGTCCTGTATTAATGGATGTTAAAAGCTATTTTAACAAGTAATATCCAATAACAGCTTGACATAGACAAACAGTTCGGCTATTTTCACGGAAACTTAGTGAGAGAATTAAAGACATCGGTCTGATCTGAGGGGTCGGTTGTGTGGTGTTGAAACGTTATGTCTTATTATGCAGTTTTATCATCAGATYATGGTTTCATTCCTTATAAAGTAATCTTTCCCTCCGTCCCTCAATTGCCCACCTCCTTTTATGTTCTATTATATCAGTAAACTGATAACAAAGCTGTATGATAAAACTGTTAAGAACAGTTATAGATATAGTTTAAAAATTACCACCACGAGCAAAAGTTAGAGCAATTAAAATGCACGCGAGAAAATAATCTCGTGATATGATAATTCGTTATTTTGGCTTTAGAGATTTACACCAAAAAGCAATATTGTCACGTGATACCTAATACACTCGCTCTAAATGTTGATACCAGCAATATTGTAAAGGTAAAGTTCATGATTGTTATTCTTTGTCCATTGTTACTCATTGTTTGTGCGTATTAGATTTAGACTAGGTTCGGGAAGCCTGTGTTGTAAGTACACGGAGCCTGGGGCAGAGAGAGAGAGTCTTCGTTGTTTCGTAAAAGAAAGCGTGTTGTTGTTCCCAAATAAAAGGAAAAATCATTCGTATCGTTTTCGCTCCAACACTCATTATAATGTATGGGATCTATATTTGAAGTGTTTTATGGGACAACATCTTTGACAATKACTGTATGGGATCTATATTTGAAGTGTTTTATGGGACAACAACGTTGACAATGACTGTATGGGATCTATATTTGAAGGTGTTTTATGTACATATTGGAATCCTTAGTCATAGTACATTTTCTTTACTAGCAAAAATATAGTCTTTGCTATGCTTTGCAGCTAAAAGAAGACCAAATCTGGTCTACAGACCCTTCGTGACAAATCCCAAAGCAGCTCAATATATAGAAGAAGAAAAAAACAATGAATTTCAGTTCTCATGAGAGTAAGGTTCTATTGTTTTGTTCTCAAAATTAACCTACATTGGAAATATGCTAAAAGGTTTCTATTTTTACGAAAGACTTCGAGGGAGATGCATTGATGGCTTTTTTCCAGGTTTTTGTTCAGTATTTTTCGTGGGTCGGGAAAAAAACTGGCAGACATTTCAGTCTACAAATTACTTTTTGACATATTACTAAACCATTCCGATTGCTCACTTTAACAAAGTAAAAACTTAAAGTACTTACAGATCATCCTCAATAATCCTTCGATCACAACTGATGATAAAGAATTAAAGCGTGACAAACCCAAAAATTATATGTCCATTTGTGKCTTATTAAATTAGGTTGATAATCTCAAGATTGAACAATCATAAGTTTTTAAAGAGGCTCCTAAAATAAAGGGGTAAAAATTGTAACTGGATTTGTCTATTTTGCTCTGGGAAAAATAGGATTTAGGTCACTGGGAATGGTTTAAAAAACCCCAGCAAAATGATAAAGGGAAAATGTTTTTAAAGAAAAAGGTCATTGGGATTTCGATGCTGAGAAGTTGGATCGATTTGTAAAAATGTGAGTGGGAACCGCTGGCCTGCGCATTAATGGAACCACTGGCCTGCTATAAGCTGACATTTTTCTTAATCTTTCTCTTTTTAGCAGACGCTAAAGAACTGCTGTGTCTCGTTAATTTTAGCAGAAAAAGAAGACATTGTGGGGACATATTGGAATTGAACTACTAACATTGTGGGGACCCAATTAGGCCTCTGCCTACAAGATATCAAAATAAATAAATAAAAGAGACAGAACATTCAAAAACCTTAAAGAATCTGGGACGATTGTGATTCTTTAATTAGATATTTGTCTGCCGGTACTTGAAGAAAAGGAAGTGGATTTTCCTAACCTCGTTCAGTTGTGTTGAACGATCTCAGATATCAAGAAGAGTGCGCGGCCTGACGAGCCCGGAAACTAATTTTTTTACAAAGTATCAACAAGCAATGCTCGAAGAAAGAAATAATCTAAAAATCTTTTATTGGAGCATCTTCAGCGTTTATCGACGATATATATGGCAAACCCAGCTACCATATAAGAGGAGTAAAATATATATATTGATAAACAATGTCAGCTACAAAAAACGATTATGTCAATCCAACGTTTACGACGCTTCCTTCTAYCACAGACAACTCTACGAACCACACAACAACTGGAATACCATCTGATGACAATTTTTTAGTATCTGGGTTAATGATGCAGTCTGCACTCTTACTGGTTGTGTTCGGGAATCTTCTAGTCTTACTGGCTCTTTACAGCTATAAGCGTTGGACAGCACCTGATGTTTTGGTATTCTCATTATCTTTAGCTGATCTTTTGGATTCTTTAATAGGCCTGCAAACACTGACTGTAGTGAAGTATTTTCTGAAGATTCCATGGCGAGAATGGCTTTGTAATGCGTATGTAACTTTGTTATACACGTTTCGTATGGCTTCGGGAAGTACGGTTACCTTCATGGCGGCCGAGCGGGCTTTCCTCGTGGTATCCCCCATAAAACATCACACCATGGTTAGAACAACTAGAGTCAAGAAAACTGTGCTAGGGGTTTGGCTGTTCTCTTTATTCTTAAGCATTTTACCGTTAACTGGTGTAGGACACTCGAGTTTCCGGCAGTATGATCGTGCCTGCTTGGTTCAACTTTTCGATTTAGGGATCTATTTTGCCATCATCATTGAAGTAATTGGCTGCATTCATCTCCTATTGACTCTTGGTAGTTACATAGCCATCAAAATGTCGGCAAAGAAATTCGTTCGGAGACAGACGACCATGGGAGTAGCGACGAAGTCTCGCAAGCAAAGCAAGCAGGTGCTTTGTGATCAATCTCCCGATAAATCTAGAAAGGTTGGACGAGATAGGAAGGAAAAGGCAAGTGGGGCAGGAGTTTCGGGAGTGAAGAGATTGAACAGGATGATGGGGATTGTAGTCCTCGTCTATTACATCAGTTGGCTTCCATTTTTAGTAAGTATGGGTAATTCAAAGTGAAATATTTTAAGATTCAGCGTCCATTGATACAGAAAATAACCTGGAAAAAAGATTGAAATCTATGAGGTTAACCCTGAAACAATCTCCCAGGGGGTGTACTCGGGTGGGTAACTTGACGGGGGGGGTCCGACGGAGCTTCATATTGCAACCCCCAAAAAATACTCAAACCGGAAATTGTACACCCACAAAACAGGCTCTTCTAATGTATGAGTCAATTCCAAAGGTTCCCATCCCCCCCGGSCAACCCCCCGGGCATTTGACTTTTTGAAAAGAAAATGGTCAAATTCCCCGCCATACGGGCCAAGAAAATGATCAAATGCTCCATCGTTCAGGCTCCACTAAGTGGTCAAATACCCGCCCCTCCAGTCCGATGGATCTTTAATTTTACCTAAAAAGTACGAAACTGAGCCTGTGTACATCCACAAGTCTCATGCTAAGTACCTTTTAAGATCGTTTTATCATTTATAACTTTAATTTTATTGTTTTGGACTCCAAAAACKTATCTTCATCTACTCCCACTCGTTCTGTACTGTCATCCAACATTGAAAAGTTTTACTTCCTTTTCTTTTTAATCCCAAGCTTTTCTTTCTCTGTTTTTCAAAGAAGTGACAAGTATAAGATTGTATTTTGAAACCAAATTTTTGTACTGTGGCGATTCAATTACCTATGAGATCGTAATCAATTCGAAGTTCAACCCGCAAAGGAATCCGCCAAAAAAGCTTTTCTTACTTCTCTTGTGCCATCCCAGATTTTAAACAAAGGTATTTGGGTTTCTTTAAATTCACAGGCGAAAGAACCAGAGTCCTCTAAACACGATCCAAGCGTAAAATTTTGCAATACGGCTGATCTAAGTCAGGGCACGGATAACTCACAGGTTTACCCTGAAACAGCCTTTGGGCTGATCTAAGTCAGGGCACGGATAACTCACAGGTTTACCCTAAAACAACCGCTGGGCTGATCAAAGTCAGCGCATGGCTAACTCACAGATCAAACCCTGAAACAACCTCTGGGCTGATCAAAGTCAGGGCATGGCTAACTGACCTGCAGATCAAACCCTGAAACAACCTCTGGGATGATCTAAGTCAGAACAAAACTAAATAACTTCATCCGTTTCAATTGTAAATCAGCGTTTTAGGTTTTCGTGGAGGGAGAAAAAAGGTCATCCCTTCGCCATGAATGCATTGCCTATTTCTAATGTCGCTTTTTTGTTCTCTTATAGTTCAACAACCTGGTGAGTCTCATAATCAATAAGGAGCCAAACCAAAAGATCTCTTTATTTGCCGGGCTGATTTCTTTACTTCATGCTTTGGTGAATCCTATTCTATACGGTAAAATGAGCCAGAGGTATCGCCGTGGTTATGTGCATGCCTTCAAGACCATGTTAATRATATGCGGCGGCAAACGACCGGACAGACCAGATAAAGGTAGGTGTGGGATCGAGCAAACGAATAATTAAAATTTTTTAAAAGCCTTCAATTGCTTACTATCAATCACGTGACTTTTTTGGAGTTGACTGGGGGGCAACTAGCGGATGCTAAGTCAAAACATGCCAAAATAAGTCCCCAAACTATTGTATTTCACTATTTCTACGACATGAAACCAGAAAACAAGAGATCAAAACAACCTCCAAAATTCTACAAGGCATTAAAAACGCAGCTATTACCGGAAGTGAGGTCTATTGATAGCAACCTATTCCATTTTATATCAATATGGGTACGGCTAACTCACAGAACGTATTRGAAGTTAGCTTGTTAGGTTTTATGGAGGGAGGAAAACTGGAGAACTAGGAGAAATACCGGCCCTCGAATCAAGGGAGAGACCTAATGGATTTTAAGCGAAAGTTTCACGAAAAGTAGAACTGCTTTCTACTTCTGCAAACGAAACTTGTGTCGGGAACAAATTTCAGGACGAATTTACGCCGTGTAACACCCCTGAGAAACTTGTCTCGCAATGCCGTTGCACACAAATTCTGCTAAAAATTTCAACGCGTAACAGGGCCTTTACCCACATGTGATGGCGAGTCCAGAAATTAATCTCGAGACCCCAGAAGTGAGAAGCAAGTTCGCATGCACTTTCTACCACTACACAACCCGGATTGAATCTCCATTTCAAGACATAGTGATTTGTATAAGACGCGTATAACTCATACATGAAATAGGTAATGATCTTAAAACATTAACACTACGACAAGGCCACAGTGYAATGTATACAGGAAGTGAATATGATATCCAGTGACGTCATGACGTGTGTTGTTCCACCTGCCCATCTCGCCTTAGAGTTGCTGTCTTCTTCATCTTCTGGGACAATACGCGTGATGATGTAAGGCGCGATCTTAGCCCTTTAACTCTGGCGGGGCCAACGCCATTAACATGCATTTTAGTAGTTTTTCTTGTTTAATCTGAGGAACCTCAGTAACTCCTCAAATGACGTATCAGATATAGATCTTGGGAGTAAACGKTTTTGGGGGAAGGGTATGAGGGGAGGAGTGAAATTTCTGATCTGTCTTTGATGTTAATTAGCTTCTTGAAAAAAGGAATTCTTTATGGAGGCAGCATTCTCGTGAAACATAGCAGTAAACCACGTGATACGTGATACGTCTTCTTATGTTTAACTTTAGGTATAACATCCTTCCAGTCCATTCCCGCTCCGCCAGCAACGGGAGAACTCAACAAATGCAATGCTTTARATAACCCTGCATTCAACGGGGATTCCGAAAGTAAGTAAGAAAGGTTTTTTATAAATTTTTGATGTCAACTTCTCTTCCTCCAGCTCTTTTCCGGATACATTTTCCCATTATGGGAGGTAGGGTGCAAGTTGTTCAAGCTTCTTCTATCTCGAAGCGAAAATAGACTGAAACAAATTGTTGTGCACCATCACATGCCAACATCACGTGATGGTGCAAAKCCTCTATGATAGGGTTAATTCCGCGTGTATTCCTTTTTTTTTAACTGAAAGAATGAATATATTATACTTCATAGGAAGCATTCCTCATGTCAATCCTGTAGCCGAAAGATATCAACCAATCGAAGAAACAGAAAACACGTATGAAATGAAAGAAATCATGGTACCTTTAGAGACTAACCATGTCACGGAGGTCATTGCTGACAATATTGCAGTCAAGGAGTAACATAAAAAACCTGCTGAACATTTGTTATTTGGTCTTCAAAGGTAATCATAAGAAAGAAGAACCAAAAAAAAAAAAAAAAGGAGATGGATGAGCAGACCTTAAGCTTTTATGGGGGGGATGCACGTGCACCATGTGCTCCCCCCTAGTTACAGCCCTGGTTTTCACGTTACGTCTGGTGGACTTCTAACAAAAGACTTGTCATTGGGTGCTTTTGTATCTGTCCTCCAGCATGGCCGACATGTCTTYGTCTTTTGATYCTCTTGGGAATGATTGAAAGTGGTCATAGACACCCCAGGACTCCCATGGATACTTCCGATGCTGTGTTTATCAAAGACTCGTAAATAATCAAGCAATATATGCCGTATTCTTCGATTGCACGTTACGTCATCGCAGCCATGTTGGTGCCATTTAACAAAAGATTTCTCATTAGCATCCATTGTKAACGGCACCACAATGGCCRCCATGCTYTTGTCTTTAAACTCTCTTGGGAATGCTTGCAACCCATCAATACCATATAAGCCCTGCTTAGTCCTTACAATGTTTGTAAAAAATGTTTGATCAAAATAATTAAGATTTTACTAAGATACATGTCTCCATCTTATTTTATTTAGTTTCGGTATATTTCAGTATTTTTAATGCCAGGATAATATAAAAGCACTTTTTGACGAAAAATCTTCAGTAGTATACGAATTCCTGTTGGTCTTGTCAAAACGTTAGACCTGAATTTCCGCAACGCGCGCATTTTAAGCTTAGTGTCCTGGTATCTATAACAACTAAAAATGTAAAACAACAAACAAACAAACAATGCAAAAAACAAACAAACAATGCAAAAAACAAACGAACAAAAACAAACGAACAAAAAAACAAACGAACGAAAAAACAAACAAACGAACAAACGAGCAAACGAACAAACGAAACAAAAACGAACGAAAAAAAACGAACGAACAAACAGACAGAGAAGCAAGCTTTTACTTCAGCCATACCAAGCCCTTATCATTTACCCAGAAAAGGAAACCATTACCATTTAATCTGGTCAACAGATCAAGAAACTTGGAAGTACCGACATTTCAAAATTGGACATGTGATCTCAATCGCTTTGGACGACTGAAATGGGTTCTATGGGTTCAATGTCATCAACARCTTTAAAAGGCTCATTTTGTATCAGATGATCAGATATTGGTTTGATCTCAGGCTGCTTATCAATCGTTTCTAAATGTTTATCGATTCCTTCTATAGGGTCTGGCTTATCTATTTGAATACTTTCTTTACTTATATCCTCTATGTCTTTCTCTTTTTTAAATGGTTCCAGACTCTTCATCTGTAGTGGTGGCRGTGGTGGAATGAATACTCTCTTCCCATTGTCTTCACTTTTCCCTAACAACATATTTTGAACTTTTTCTTTTAATTCCTTCAGACTCAACTGCGTTTCGTAGGGCACTATCATTACTATCTCATGTTTATTTTTTATCGTGCCTCGAGTCCAAAGATGTCTTTTGATTCTCGCAAGACTTCTAGCACGTCCACGGCGAAAAAAAGGCGAAAATCTAAAGCGTTTCTTCGATTTTCTCAACTGTTTCCTTGTGAATATCGGCTTAGTGATAATAAAACCATTGTATGTGTTTTTAAAAGACCTTTTGTCGATAAAATTCCATTTGAATTCTTTATCAATGTCTTCGTTTTTGAAAATATTTTCCATCGAATCAATCKCGGGAATCTTCGGCAAATCTTCGATTTTCGAAACATCATCAAAAGCAACAAACTGTTCTTTGATTGGTCCAAAAGACTCGGGTTTCTTGATGCTTACCAACTGGCTTTCTATTGGCTTAATTTGTGTCGTTGGTGATGGTGCCTCTAAGAGTTTTCCTATTGGTGGAATACTTGTAGGTTTTGTGAAAGATTCAGGTTGAACAAGATCTACTTTGTGGAGATTTGGTTGGTTGTTTTGAGTCGCATTTTTAGAGTAAATTTGCTGCCCTTTCGCTTGTAGTCTGGTTGGCGTTGTCGTACTGTTGCTGTCTATCAAAGTGTTCCTAACGAGTTGTTTGTATCCTTGTATGCCAGTATCAGGTTGCAGTGTTGGTGAAGTTGTTGCTTTCTGTTCTTCCAGTCTGAGAAAGACACCATTTCGTCTGGAGGCTTAAAAACATTCAAACTACTTAGAAATATATCAATTACGCATGCACATTTCAGAGACGAAACATTTTGGCAAGTCTCTGTGAGAAAAGGCATTTTTTCAGTATTTAACAATAAATCGAGAAGAAAACTTATCAAAATTTTCCAAAAAAAACGTTTCCAAATTTTTACCAGAGCTTGCGAGTTTGCTGTAATCTTTCCATTTCTTGGGAGCGAAAACTGAAGCACTATAAACCTGGTAAGAAAGGAAATAAATTCAAACCTCGAATTCTGAATGGCTTATTGGTTACCACTAAATAATGAAGTTGATTAGCCTCCTCCGCAGACATCTCCTTGGCYCTTTTTGCTCCGTGGGCTTCCTGTGCTTTTTCTCTCCCTCCTTTCGTCCCCACTTTTCCTCCTCCCTCGTTCCTAGTTCTTCTCTGCCATAAAATTTAATGCAGGCATCCCAACAGCGAATATAGAATATATGGAGTAACCTGCRGAGGAGGCTAGAAGTTGATACTGTAACAAGACGTCCTGCAGGCGTTCACTGGGTTCCCTGTATCAAGCACAGAGGCCTCGTTGCAATGTTAGCCAAAAAATAATGGAATGGTTCCCAGAAAAGAATGATTTTGYCGTTTAACTTGTCCATGACGATCTTCTCCCTTAAGGTGTTTTCTACATTATATTGAAATATTTGCAGGTTCTGCCCTTTTTTAGGCCACAAAATAAACATTCCTTTTRAATTTGATCTTGCGCCATGACGCAAAAATCAAAAATCCCAATGTTCTCTGTCAGAATCACCAAAATATATAGTGCAATAGTACCCAGAAGKCTTCACGGTACCACCCACAAGTCCTTTGCGGGCATATGATGATCCAAGTGCAGTAAATGTTCTTGTCAGTAAACTTTGCAAGGAAAGATAGGAAAGCATAGGTCTACTTTTCGCGGATCGATATTGGTTATATGACTGATAACGTCTTATCGAACTTATACAGGCTTATAAGCAACCGAATAGGAATCAAAAAAATTCACTTAAAAGATCTAATAAAGAATTGATTAAAAAAAGAAAAATTTTATGTGGATAAGACGGGATTCGAACCAAACAAAAGAAATCTTAAAAATCGATCCCACTGTGCCATACCCCCGAGACATCCGTAGAGCTGAGGCGGCGTATGGACTTCGGACCTGACGGC